GAAAAGGAAGGGATGAGCGTTTCGTCCCGGGTCTGCTAGTGGACTCATCAGTGAGGCTACCCTAGCAGGATACAATTAGAAGATCTGGAGGTTATATATATAGGAATTGGAGGTTTTCCGAGGACTTGCGAGAAAGTCCTCGAACCTCCTTGAAGTTGGGATCCATCCAGTGGCAAGGGTGAGAAGGATGGCAAGGATGGATGCTACACTACCAGCGTCCCACGACTCGCTGACGCCTTGCCCTCCCGAAATACCACTCGAGCTAACCCTTAGTAAAAGATTGAAAATCCTTAATAGACTTACAGACAATTATCCCGAATGCAATTGAACCTTCACCTCCATTAAAAACCCTAAACTCTATATGCCTATTTTCTTCATTTACCTTCAAAAACCGAAGGCCCCTGTCTAGGAGACAATAGCTTATTTCGTTGCGACCAACATTCCACGACTCGCGGATATCTAAATCTCCTCAATACCATCCGAGCTAACTCCTAATAAAAGGATTAAAATTCTCCAAGAACGGAAAACAAGTTTATCAAATTTGTTTAAACTTCCACCTCCATCGAACTTCATACAACCCTCCAACCAACGTGCCACCAGTAGTAAGAAATGCACCCATCACTTACACGCCGTGTTAACCAATCACAATAACCTCCGAATTTATAAAAACACGAAGACACGAAAGCTCAGATAGAAACAAACCGAGAACAGTACCTCAGACACATTTACTCTTGTATCGCATTGAATAAAGTCTTACGAATCTTGTCGACTAGTTTGCGTTCGTAAAAGCACGTAATCTTCATTTGATATTTTCGTCCCAAAGAATTCTAGGAAGAAACAGCGAGAACGCTGTGAACCTTTGTTCTTGCCAGAGAAATTCGAGGACGTTTAATATCTCCGAACCCGGTGCCAATAGAAGCACGGGGATATCTTGGACAAGATTAGAGCCGTGGCGAAATGCCATACTCTCTGACTCGTGGACACGCGAATCGCTCTGAGGACAGTCGAAATCGCGAAATAATTCGCGGGTGATCCGGGGGAATTTCGGCGGTGCTTACAGTCTGGCGTACGTAAGTACCAACTGATTCGATTCGCTTTACACTTAACGAATTAACGGCGTTGATTGGCTGCTTTGTGGCAGGCTTTCAACGTGGGATTTGCAGATACTGGGTTACGCAAGCTCAGCATAGGGTAACGTGTCTCCTCCCGTCTTCACCCGGCCACCTAACCCCCTGTCTGTTCAACCCTCCCGCGCTCACCGTCCCTGTCCCGCGCACTGCCTCTCTTATTCTATTCATAAGTATGCGCGAATTAATTACGAGACCCTCTCATTTGCGTCAGTTATTATGAACTTCACCGTAAGACCATTACTGAATTACAGGCGGAGTCTGGAGTGGGCTGCATGCGGCTCGATGCTCGCGCACCTCACGCGAGACAAAATCGAAAATGCATCTGTAAACAGTGGGGTCAGACCCCTTTTTTTTTTCTCCACCACCCTCTACTTCTTCGCGCATTACCTCTCCCCTTCTCTCCCACCCCCTCTCCCCCTCTCTCGCTTTTTTTTCTTCCCGTTTTGCGCGTGTGCGTCGAGCCACTCGATGTTAATGTATGCGAAAAGTCTGAGAGCAATCGATCGATCGTTTCGCTCTATCTGCGTTCCACGCGCCTTCCTACTAGCTAGCATCCCCTCTATAGAGCGTGTTTACGAGGAAACGCGTTTCGATCGTTAGATTTTACCGGGATGTACGCGATCTACGATCCGAAAGGGGAGTAAGAGGGATTCGCTTGCACGGGGTCGGAATGGAACGGTCACGCGGACGTTTATACAGCGTGTCAATGGGAATTATTGGTATAATTCGGACGAGGGTGATGCTTACGGGACTATGCTCGCTGATTTGCGCGTTGATTCGATCGGATATCGAGACAATCTATAGTTTTGTCCACTTTTTCCGTCTACACCGACGAACGACGAAAAACGAAAGTGAAAGCTCGTCGCTGAGAAATTAATTTTTATTAACGAAGGAAATTTTGTGGTACTCGCGAAGTACGCGGATACATAAGAGGCTCCCGTAAATTTATTAGCCAATTACACCCCCATTTCGATAACACCCCGTAGCACAGGCTTCCGCACCAAGAATAAAGTTTAAATCATATTTAATCGTCCCTTCGTTTTTCCCTCTTTCTTCCATAACTCGGACATTCGGTGGTTCAACCACCACCACCGCCACGGTTCAGGTTGACCGTCCGTTTTGAAATCATTTGCAATTAAAAGCGGACAAGGACCGTGCCAGCGTGGGCTCGTTAATGTAGACGCGTTTTCGCCGATTTACCCACGGATTCCACCGGTGGCGAATGTACCCTGACCTGATTCTACTTTCGAATCTATCTTTAAATCTCGGCTACAGCGCACCACGCTCGGAGGATGCTCGCGTATCTGGCCGTGCTAACGAACCCCCGGCAAGAAGACAGCCACACCAGAACCGGTTCATCCAATTTCCTTCCCTCCCTCCCCTATCGCCCCGCCAGCTTTGAATAGTTTCAATGTGTCAAATTTAAAAGACATTTAAGTTTTCTGAAATCGCGTTTCGCGACTCCGTCGTTCGTTAAATTCCGCGCCGCGACCAACTCGCCGATTGTTCGCCGCTCGTCGAAGCGGAACGGGACGACGAGCACGCGTTCGAAACATCGAATTCGGCTGCAGTGATACAAAAATTGATGGCGCTTCTGGACACAGAAATGGCGCGCTATTCGCGCTCTCTTTCTCCCGTCCTCCTTTTCTTTTTGTCCCTTCGCGTTTCGCTTTTTGTAATCGTTATCTCGTATCGCCGAAATGTATACGCAGAGAGAAAGAAAAGGAAGAGAAGGACGAAAATGGTAGTTTATTTCGGCAGGAATAAATTTCCCAATTTTCGCGTGTATTTCGGGCGCTTCAAGGAGGACGCGCGCGTTATTTGTTCGACCAGTGTGTTCCATTATATAATACAAACAAAAAGGTGCTCGCGCGTCGAGGTGGATCGAAACACGGTTGTATCGTGTTCGAATTCCAATCTCGTACACGCCTGCTCGTTTTTAACCGTTGGTTAATTATCGAAACCGCGGCGCTGTTAGGGAGATCGACCGATAGCGAGACCGAGAACACGTGTCACCGGCGGGGACCTGGACCTCGATTGTGTCAAGACCGATCCGTCGATGCGAGTAATTGTTCGAGGAAAATCTTAAGACGCAATCGCGTTAGTCGGTCGAGCGAGTTATTAACGCGATTCCGGCCTTCGGAGCGGAGAAATCGGTCGAAGAGTCGTACACGCGTTTCTCTTCGGCCAACGATCCGATCATTTACCCGGCATATTTGAAATTTCCATCCTGTATAACCTGCCTTACCGGGAACTTACGCTTTTCGAGTACGAAACTCTCGTTAGAGAGGTCGACGAATGGATCGGAGCTTTGAAACGGAACGGAGTTATGAACCGATCGAGGATCTCCCTCGTCCCTATTATTTATTCAGTATCGGTACATATCTGTACGCTGCCTGGGCTTGAATATTTTATAGAAACCATTGCCCGTGTCGGCGCTTCTCGTGCCATGATACGAGCCGGATGCGCGTTGACGATCGGACGAATCGCGTAAAATCGATGAGAAACCGTCGAAGGCGTCGAAGGAGACCCTTTTTAGCGGATTGGCGAAACCGCACGATCGGGCTTGGCTGGATGGAAAGAAAAGCACCGGTGGCGTGGTTTGTTACGCTGGAATTTTCTCCTATTTCTTTTTTTTCCCGCTTTTTTCCCTTCTTTTTTCCAACCCCGACGTCCATGCCGGTCGGATCGGCCGTCTTAATTAACGAACGATTTTTGCTGATAGCGAGCGAATGAAAAGGATACCGCGGAGACTTGGAAGCCGGACGTTATATAGAATCGATGGGTACCTCGTCAAAGGGCCCGAGGCTTCCTGACTTCTGTTTAATTTTATAGCTTATCCATTCATCGGCTGCCTTCCAGCCTCCACCTACCGCCATTCGAATAAGGAACCTGACCACGGCCAGACCAACTCGCTTCACTTGCAATTAACCAGGTAAAAACTTCCGGCGCATGACCGACGCATTCACCAGCGTCGATTAAAAAACGTCACGCTGGCTGGTTTAACAGAAACGAATTCGAACTCGCAAGACCGAGTGGTATCGAGTCTCGCGATTATCGGAATCTCGTACAGGAGTCGCGTAAATGGTCGGTATTCGAGTTTCCATCCGCGAAATCTGCATTCATCTGAAAGGGGAAAATACACGCTCGCGATGTACGCGTGTACGGGTATAATACATCGGCGATTAAAAACAGGGACGAGTCGCGATTCTTCGAGCCGGGCCGCGATTTCCCTACGACGTCCCGGTATCCCGTTTCATCCATCATCATTATCCCTCATCTCGCGAATCCTCGTTTAGAACGTCAAACACCGAGTCGAAACTTCTACCCATATTTTCCTCCCGCCGTTCCCCTCCCGCTCTCATTCCAGTCTGGATTTAGCCCCGAAAGATTTTCAATCGTAACCGACATTCCATCATCCTCGAACGCATCACGACCAACGGTCTGCAGGTGTGGACATCGGCTATGAGTAAAACGGTTGCTCCTCTCCTCCAACCTCATTGTTCCATTCCCACCCCTCGTCCTCCCGCCCCCGCCACCCTTTTCCACCCCGCCGTCCCCTCCCTTGCTTCTCTTCTTCTCATTCCGATCGCCGAGTAGCCCCCTCTTCTCCTCTCTTTCTCGCATCGAAAGTGGACACATGCTTGGCCCTAGTCACCGTCCCTACGAATTCCAGGGATCAATGCGTCGGTGCACCAAAACGCCTGCGCCACCCCCGTCAACCCCACCACACCTACACGCCGCTTAGCCGAGCAGCAGCAGCACCACCACCACCAGCACCAACACCAGCACCACCACCAGCAGCAGCAGCAGCACCACTACCACCACCATCATCATCAGCAGCAGCAGCAGCACCACCATCAGCAGCAGCAGCAGCAGCAGCAGCAGCAGCGCAGCAGCGACAACGGTGGCGGCGGCGACGACGACGACGGTGGCGGCGGTGGAGGCGGCGGTGGTGAGGGTGGTGGGAGTAGCGACGGCGTCGACGGCGTCGCTGGTGGTGGTAGTGGCGACGGAGGCGATGGTGGAGGTGGCGATGGCGGTGGTGGCGGCGGCAGTGGCGGCGGCACGAACCTCACAAACACACCCACGCGACATCATCGTCCGCACGAGTACGTAAAAGTACGTAGACCCCAAGGATGCCGGTGTGTAAGAGTACTGGTGCATAAGACCGGCTAGTCGCGACTCGTCCGTGTACCAGCTGTTGGTCGTGTGTGAATTTCCTCCTGGAGTGGAAATTCACTCTCTCTCTCTCTCTCTCTCTCTCTCTCTCTCTCTCTCCCTCTCTCTCTCTCTCTCTCTCCCTCTGCGAGCACAGAGCAGCATAGAGCAGCACAGGCAACCAGAGACCCTTCTCTCTGCTTTCCCTTCACCTTCTCTCTACCTTCTCGCTACCTTCTCCGACGTATCGCCCCTACCGAGCCACGTAAACCACCCCCTAGTCCCTCCACTCTCGCACAAGAGAATCCACGTCCCTTTTCTCCCTCTTCGAACGATCTCTCCTACAACGGCGAGAGGGCGCTCCCCTCTCTCTCGATGTGCGCGGTACCCGAGCCTCGGAAATTCTGAAAGCGGTTCGCGCCTGTGCAACTCGCGCGGGGGTGGCAAGGGACCGAAAATCGAGGTGAAAGGAAACTCCGCGGATCCGGCCTAAGGGTCTCTCCTAGGGCTGGTGCGTATATCGGTTCTGGCTAGAATTTTTCGTCGCGCGTCGCTCGATACGTCCGACCGAGAGATAAGGGAGCCGTTACCGAACGTCGTGGAACGATCATCGCGAGTAGTACGCGTCGTGTTGCCGCGTCTCTGGCCCCGTTACTGCTTGCGAGTACGCATAAACACGCACACACGGATTACGGCCGTGTACAACCGCGTTCGTCGTGCACGAGAATCGGTGTGCGACCACAGTGACACATCGCGATACGTTCGGATTTACGTACCTCTCCGTGGCCTGTCGCTTTTCCCTCGTTTCTCGCCCCCCTCCCGTGTGCTTGACCCGAGCGGTACGCTGTACGAGAGAGGTAAAAAGCTCTCTCTCTCTAGCGCGACGCTGAACAACGAACCGAGGGACGAAACCGTGGGACGAAATCGTGCAGGAGAGAAAGAGGACATTTACACGAGACCTCCGATACCCGTCGACGACTCGGCGGCAGACTTGTTCGATCGCAGTGGTGGTGGTTTCTTCCTCGCGTGACACACTTTTGTCGCGAGAGAAGAGAAACTCTCTCCTTTGCCAGGCCTCGCACGAACCTGTGCGAACACCAACACGGACTGTCGTCGCGTATATCTGTCCCGTGTGCGAGAAATCATCGTAATAGCCAGTCAGTGATAGTTTGCTACTGTGTATCGTGAATGTGCGGTATCGTGAACAGTGACCATTCGGAAGAAAGGAAGAGTTCTTTTGGTGCTTGACTGAGAGAGAGAGAGAAAGAGAGAGAGAGAGAGAGAGGAACAGGGAGAGAGAAGAGACCGTTGTCTCTAATCTTTCGTTCGCCTGGGATAATTCGCGAGGAAGAGAAAGGGATAAACCCCGTGGACTAGTGACTAGCAGAGAATCGTGATTGTTCAGTGATTTCTGGCCTGTGCCATTTACGAACTCGCCAGGATTTTCCGTTAAACACCAGGTGGTTCGCGAATCTCGAATACGGGGGTATCATGTATCCCCGATTGCAGCCCTCCTTTGAGGGTTAGATTCGCCGATTTCGCGTCTCGGCTTCTCGCCGTCTCGTCTTAATTCTGCGCTGCTGTGTAATCGTGCACTCTGGAACTAGACTGAACTACGTCTTCTTAAGGACTTCCAATTTCGACGCAAAGAGCTGGTCCCACCGAGGACTAACCGTGTACCACATCCCCGCGCTGAAAGTGAGTCTCACGCTTTGATGCTACCCTCCGTCTACCACCTCGCCCAGTTGCTAGCTGAGTTTGCATCGCGTACAGCTTTAAGACGGCCGTAGCCCGATCGAAACGAGAAACCCTCTGGATTTCTTTAGACCTTATACATTCCGTTTTATGATTTTCCACGATCAGCCTATCGAGAGGAGACCGTTACTTACGAGTAACAAAGCGTACCATTTAATGACGTCGAAACTCGATAACCCGCGTCCGTGGATTTATTAAAATTTAATGAACCGCGTCGTATCGAGATATCGCGTATATATATATGTATCTCTTGCTATCTCCTCTTGCATCTCCCTTCCTCTACTCGCTGCTCTTATTTATCTTTTTCCTTTCTCTTTCTTTTTTCTCCTTCTTTTTTTTTAATTCTCCCGAGTCAGGAACGAGACAACGGGACGCAGTTAATGGCATTCTAGAGTAAGACGAAGGAAATCCAATTTATCCGTCACTTTGTCGCGTCTAAAATCCCGAAGGAAGTTCAACCGTGTCGACTGGTTTACGACGAATTCGATCAACAAAGTGAAACCTTATTTCGTGCCAGCCTCGTGTGTTGGCGAATGATAATGCGTTTATCCGCGCGCATTCGACGTGCTCGTAAGGCTTTCGCGATTGTGCCGCCTTTTTTCCACCTAATTATCCGGAAACGTTGCAATCGAGATCCTAAACTTCTGACTGTTCCCCGTCGACGAGGTGAAACTTCCGTTCTCTACCAGAAATATCAAACTTGCGACGATACTGCTATTCTTATGGTTCTTCTCGAACGAATTTTATCAAAAGCATCTACCGAGACCATTAGTTTCTTCTTCTTTCCCATTTTTCTCCTTTTTCTTATTTTTAATAGAAAAGTTAATCGCGAGAGAGTACCCTAAAACAGATTTGTCCCTAAAGATTGCGTATTAGCGGCGCTACGATACTCGACCCACCGAATCACGTAAACGTTGATCATGATTAATTAGAAGATCGCAAGATACGGGCTAGTTCAATAATCCCGGAAAATTAACGCAACGCGATGGCCGATAAACTCGCGACGCGCTATCCGAGATAAAATCCCTTGCGAATGGTTGGAAATTTTCGCGAAACAGAAAAGGAAGGAAAGAGTAGGGGAAAAGTGGCGAAACGTCGAACCGTATGCAAATTCCGCTCCCGCTAATGAACTTTCTCCGTACCCGCGACATATTCATTTCACGCGCGTTAATTACACGTAATTTTCTAAATGCAAATGCCCGCGGATCGTCGAATATATGCATATTCGTGATTCGACTCGGCAGACAGAGCCAAGCGTTCATTGAATTTCGTTCTCCCTTGACTTTCGTCTTCGAGGGTTGTTCAACAATTCGTTATTTATGCAAATTGCCTTGGACCTTCGGGGGTTTCTGCTGAGATGGAAAAAAATTCCTACGTGGCACAAAGGGATCGAGAAAATTGATGTACTGCCACGGAAGATCCTCTTAACCTCGCGTAGCACAATCGTGTATTCGACTTGCTAATTCGATATTCCATCGTCTTTTGTTGCGCAGAAATCAAATTCCTCGATGTTATCCTCAAACGGGGTAACACGGTCTACCCTCATGAGCAGAAAATATCGTCGAACGCGGGTGGCTTTGAGCACGTCAATTTGGTTACGTGACCAAGATAGACCTCTGTGTCGCGAAACATTTTCGTTGAAGAATTACGTAGACACGTTTTCATGGCGATGGGAAAATGATCGGAAATAGCTGCGTCGTTTTTGCCATATGCGAAGCGTCCTTTGAACAGATAGCAGAAGGAACCGGCAAGGAAAAGGAATAAATCCCGACCGATTTATAGCACGCTTAACCCGTTTAGGGCGATCAATCGTACGGTGGGAACGAATCCGCGTGACCATTACCTGCGTCGAAATGGTATTCTCGTTAAAAATGGCGAATAACGAAACGAGGAAGGGTTGAAAATCCGCGTGGAAATCTGCCGTTCTGCACAGGAAGGATACCCGCGACGCTGACATAGGGATCGGAGCGATGCTTTGATATCTAATCGGGCGTTTTGGAAACGGCGATAGGCCGAGACAATGACGGAAGCGGAACGCCGGAAATTAATGTTTTCCGGCAAAATCGGGCTGATACCCGGAAAGCACGTTTACGAGGCGCAATTATAAAACAGCTCGGACGCTGAAGGCCGTCAGGCCGCCATAAATTCACACCCTACGATCGGGTAAAGCCTTCTTCTCAGCATGCGACGTGCCATTGATCATGGTAGATAGGTAACTCGCGTGGTCGAGGGTTCGAGGCTTCGTTCGACGTAGTTACGTTAATTTCTACGAGGCGTCCCAGTTTTCCACGAGTTGAGCTCCCGCTCGGTTCGCTCGCTCGCGGTGCCCTTCCAGCTACAGCCAATGCTGTCAGGAAATTACGGGACGTCGTTTGTGTTGTGTTGACAAGCGATCCTTCTCTTTGTTACGCCACCCTCTTTTACACCACCCCCCATATGCCGCTGGATCTCTCCACACCCCGTTTCATTCCCACCCCCGTGTCATTAGTCTTCGTGGCCGAGCATCCCGCTCGTTCTACCCTTCTTTCCTATCTCCGTCTTCCTCTAATCTCAATCTCGCTCCGATCCTCGCCTCGAACCCCGACTTTCGGTGTTGGTCGGCCAGCCAGTCCAGATTGAAAGCGAATCGGATATTTATTAACACCGCCGCGACGATAGACGCCTCGTCCCCGGAAGTCTTAATCGTCCCGGCCATCCCGAGCGTGTTGAATTCGTACACCATGGGGGACCGAAGCCGAGATAACGCCTCTGGCGTGCGTGTGGTCGAGGGTGTTTACTGCTGGAAGCTACGAAAGGGATTAAGAACTTATGACACTCCACGACGGTGCTTTTGCCGGCCTGCGCCAGGGTAAACATTCTCCCGTTGGATCATCGAAACGCTCGCTCGGGGTGAATTAAATTCGCCGTCTGCGTTTCGCGATGGCTATTTGGTCCCTGTACCAAGTACGTTGTTAGCTATAGGACCAGAGACGGTTCCTGTCTAGGGCGGAGAATTAAAGACGTTTCGGTGAGCGACTTTGAATAGACCACGAGTTTCATCGACCGCTGCGATTGTTGACTGCCAACTGGGGTAGGGGGTGACGGTGAACGAAGATGAATAAAATAAGAGGATGGCGGTTCCTTTGACTATGCAACTGCGTAAAATTCTCCGGATGAAATCGTTTCGTGGTACCGATCAGGGTGCAGTGCCGGTGAAATCGTACGGTAAATGCATTTTCGTTAACGGCGATTGGCACTGTCTGAGACGATACGTCGATACGTCACTTCGTGCTCGATTTCCAGCGGAACGATCGAAATAATAGGAATAGCCGTGGAATTTTGAGTAGGCGAGAAAGAGGGAAATGTCTGACGCGATTGTTCCGCGAAATTGGAATATATTTACGGGCGCAAATGGCAACCGGATGCATAGAAATTCTGAATTGGATAGGTCGAAATACTTGCGAGGAGAACTGAAATTGACAATAGGCTGCTATTATTATAATGGATACCGGACGAATAGAAAAGGCGAAATTTCCCGTCTTTTTCCCCCACTTTCTGTCCCTTTATCTGTCCTTCTTCAATTTTTTTGTTCCCTTTTGCATAAAACGAGAGGTGGAAAACGCGAAGCTCGCCCGGCATTTTGACGGGTCGATGGAAAAAAGAAGCGGCAAACAACAAGATAAATCGGCTTGTTAAAAAAGTACCAGGCGGAAATTTCTGCAGCAAGTGAACTTTAAACGTATTATTAGTTCGCCGTCGAATATCGCGCTCAGAAGTTATGCAAATAACAATGCGCAGGATTCCGATGTGTCCGTGTGAGTGTGCACGGATGCGTTCGTATATCCGCGCACGTGATCCCGCTTTCTATAAATTAATAATTTTTTTCCACACCCTACCAAGGATACTTTTTCCTCTTCTCTTTTTCCCTCGTTTCGCTTTTTCACCTACCTTTGTCTGTCTGTCTGTCTCTCTCTCTCTCTCTCTCTCTCTCTCTCTCTCTCTGTCTATCTCTCTCTCTCTTTCTCTCTTTTTCACTCGCTTTTCATTCGTTTCTTTTTTTTAATAATCTCGCGAAAAAGGTTTCATAATACCACGGCAGCGAGTTTGCAGCTAACAAATTGAGTGTTATTAAAAAACGGAAGCATCTTCTTTCGCCATTTTGTTCAAGTCCGCAGCTGCAGCGCGCGAACCATGACGATAGGTCGCGTCGCGAGGTCTCGCGTTCGGATGTACCAAGATATGATAATGCGAATTGTAAACAGATATACCGGGATAAACAGGCCTCCATTGATCCGTGGCAGCATGGTGCCAATGAACTTTACTCTGAATCGTTTAATGATATCCCCAGGCCATTACAGGCAATCATTGCAAGAGTCGAGCGTGAAATTTACAAGGTTTCATTAGGGCCGCCGGAACTCGCTGAACATACAACAGCAGACCGCTAATAATCAAATTAACCGGCCCGTTTTAAATTCCCTAATACGCGACGTTCTCGAAAATTGCACGCTTTCACACGGTTTAATCGACACTCGATCGTTCCCCGCGTCAATTTTGTTTCGCCATCGCCGTTCCGTGCATAGTTGTGCGCCGTTCTACCGGCGTAACGCTGGGGGTTGGAGAAGAAGAGGGCTGGCGGCTGAGAAACGCGAATTATTTCGCGTGCCTCGTTTAATATCTGCCGGAGATAAAGAAGCGAACCGAGCCGGGCAGAGTGTACTTTTAAATAACTTTTCAGCCGAGCAGCCTCGTTATAACCCGCGGTTGAATAAACGCTACACGGTGCGCGTATTAATTCGAGAGTTACTCGATGGTATTGTTACGCCGTATCATTCGAAATGGCTCGTTATAACGTTACAACGTTCCTACCTTCTCGCGTACTTTCGCGACAGCTCGCGTTACGAATTTCGCTCGTATTTGTCCCGTGACAACTGCCTCGGCTGCTCGGGATCGAACCGAACTCGACG